ACTTGTTTTCAGCATCCACCCCCAAGTTCAAAAATTCCATCCTCTTTAGATGAGATTGATAATTTTATTTTTATTTTTAAATACCATCCTTTTGGAATTATATTCTGGAACAATTATACATATTTAGATTCCTAAAGCCATCTTTCGTAATAGAATCTACCATCTAGATAAAATCTAAAACATCTATGGGCATCAAGAACTTTCAATAAAGTCATCAATGTCAGATAAACCTCTCAATAAAGTCATTTTGGATTTGCAAATAGCAGGATAGATGAAAGTAACAAAATATAGGTCTAGGAAATTACTGAGAAGAAAACAATGGGTAAACTTCTGCAGCAAACTCATCTGCTAGACATGGGAGCCCATACTCTTCCACAATAACGACTGCAGCTTCTTTTGGTGTTTTTCCAACTATTTTATGAGCTTCTCTTCCGTCCCACTGTTTTCCATATTTACTTAAGAAACCTCTTAAAATATCACCTACTATGCCATCTGCAAGAATACAAAAAAAGCAATAGGTAGGGAAAAATAATAGAGGAACAAGAAACATACTGATTCATCATTGTAAGAGAAAAAGAACGAACAGTAAAAAGAAGCATCATTCCTAACCAACGATAAAAAAGAAACATCAGCATTGAACATTACAAATACTAGCCCTATAAGCAGAGCACACTAGGAAATAGTTAATATCCAGATTTCACTGTGATAGTAACATTGCACAATAAATTGAATAAAAGCAGAGACTGACCTGTATTGAGTAGTGTACCATCTAGATCAAGGATAACACACGATGCTAGCTTCTTTAAGGGATTGGCCATGGATGTTCTAGGGCTCATAAAAAGAAAAACCTAAAAAGACAGGTCTGTTCCTGCACACGGTCGAATATAATCAGAAATCATCAACAGAAACCAAACATATAAAAGAAAAAATAGAGTAAAGACTCACAAAAAGAAAACAAAATTTAACTAACAATCCAGCATTAAGATTGACATAGAAACCACTAAAAAAAAGACCTAATTTCAGCATTCTAGTATCTTTTGATCACGTATACACTCTTCAATATTCGAAAATATGGTAATTCTATTATAAACCCAGTTTGAAAATAGATTAAAAGCTTTGACTTAAGCCGATAAAAACAGTTAAACGAAGTGCCTGAAGCAAAAACATATAATTGCAGTTCACATAGAATCGAGGGAATACTGAACTTATATATTAAGAACTCTATGAATATGAATTGTGTCTTATGTCTCTTTAGGCCACAGATTTACAGAGATTCTAAGACCACTAACAAGTAAAAGTACTTCTGACACATCATAAACTTAGAATTTTATATAAAAATCTTAATATAAATACAAAATTAATAACAACAATAATCAAAATAATAAAATTCGAACGACTAAAATCATACTCTTAAACAAATCATGCAATGTGACAAAAGAACCGAAGTTTCATCCCTGGGCTTGTTGCAGAAAAGCGAAACAGTCGAAGGATTAGGATAAATAAAGTAAATGAAAGTGCAATCAAATGAGGAATATGGCAGAGAAAGTTGAAGGAAGTGAATTAAAAGTTCGGTATTTGAAGACAGCAGCTATGGAGGAGACTGAGAAATCGAGAAGCAAAATTGTGTGCTTCCCCCTGTCCGCTGGCGAGAAAGGGGGGACCACCTCTGTAGCCCCAATTCCAATTAGGAGGAGTAGGTTAAATGACAAAAATACCCTCACATTTTATCGGACAATTACACAAATACCAAACCTACAAGACAAAAGAAAATATTCCGGACCTTCCCGTATTTTTTAAATCGCAATCACAAGTTCTCGATATCGAAAACCAAAAACCAGTACCGGGGCGGGAATGTCAACAGGACTGGCAGATTTGCAGCAACATCTCGAGCATACTAAAGGCAAGGAGAATTTACTGCGCTACGATACTCTTCGAACTCGGTGCTGAGAGCTGATTCGATGGGGTCGACTTCGCAAGCGAGAGAGAAACAGAGATTCAACGTATGTGTTCGTGAGCCGTTTGAGGAAGAGTGAACAAGGTAAGAGAAAGAAGGAGA